AGGTGAATGTAGTTGGTTGGATTAGGACTAACTATTGTAACCAAGCTGGTAGTGGGAAGAATAGCAGTAGAGAGAAACATTCTAATCAATTTAAAATCAGCTTTCTGATCGGAGTGGGCAAACACATGAACAGTTCAGGATTCTGTGGGTTTGTAGAAGTCAGGAGCTCTGTGAACAGAGCTGTGCTGTGCTAAGAATGGCTGGTGTCTGTAGGGGAAGGCATCCAGCAGGCAGTTTTCCCTGAGTTCAGCCACAGACGGCTGCCTGGAGGACTCTGTGTGCAGTAGTCCCGTGGTCTCCCGTGGTCTGCGGTGTTTATAGTTAGGTGTTGTCGCTGATGCCTATGTGTGTCTCAGATGGAAGCTTTTTTCTCTCTGCTAGAGGATCAGGTGAATGTGTACTTAAAAACTTGAACAGTGATTACTGTGTATTCACATAATTTTGGTGCAGGAAAGGACTACAGAGATTTTAGTTAAATTATTCCTTTAGTGGAGGGAGAGTGTCATCCAGGGAGAAGCTAGAAAGAAAAATCTTAAGGAAAAAAAAGTCAAAAGCAGTGTTAAGAAGAATATGAGACAGCAAGAGCATGAGAAGGAATTCTCTATTATTAGATCCTTAGATCCTTAGAGATGGCCCCTAAAGAGGTCCACATCCTAATCCAGAACTTGGGCATATGTGACCTTCCATGGCAGAAGGGACTTTGAAGATGTGACCAAGATGAAGATGACCTTGAGATGGGGGAGATGAGGAGCTGCAGACCTTTTCTGGCTGTGGTCAGAGGGAGGGGACTGCGGAGGAAGCGTTGGGTACAGTGCTGCTGGCTTTGAAGATGCACGGAGGGGCCTCTAGCAGCTGGAGAAGGCCAGCCTAGAGCTTCCAGAAAGCAGCACATCCCTGCCAACGCCTTGATTTTAGCCCAGTGAGACCCATTTCAGACTTGTGATCTTACAGAACTGAGAAGTATACATTGTGTTCTATTAAGCCCATGAGTCTGTGGCCGTTTGTTATAGCAGCAATAGGGAGCAGATAGACACAGGTGTGCTGTCTCAGAGGACTTGGGGCCCGCTTCTGGGTGAGTGCTGACCCAAGAGAAGGGATGCACTGCTGTTGGAGAGCAGGATTTGGATCTCCATGGCTTCTTTGTGGTTGGAATGACGGTAGGCTTCTCCCGTGCAGGTGGGAGCAGAGGAGAGTAACAACTGTTGGTTTCCTCACCATGACACTGTGAAGAGCATCTGAAAGAGAGACACAGAAGAATAACCGCTGGACATTGTAACAAACAGATCAGGAGTGGCGAGTGCACTTGTGAATCCTGGGAGGAAGGAAGGAGATGAGGACTGTTGACAACACTGTGTGTGGTTTTAGATCTCTCTCGTAATAAAGAAATCTTACAAATCACTGTGAGAAGACAGCTGGACATAGCAGATACCTCTTGTTACCTTGTTGCCACCTTTCCCACAGACTGGTCATGCTTGTGCATGTGTTCAGCATCACCTCTCTCCTTCTAGACTAAGGCTTTGGAGGGTAAGGGTTCTGTCTTACCCATCATATGTAGGCTAGGTGCGTGCGTGTCCACTGACCGAATGAGGGAGTGAACATTCAAGAGTGAATGAACACGAAGGAATGGTTTGTAGGATTTCTTTCTACCAGGGAAAGGGTCATTATTTCTTTCCAGAGCATTGTCTAAAAGTTAAGTGACCAAGTTGAACCAAGCAGAATCATAAAAAGAACTTTTAGAAACGAAATTACAGTGTCATCTCACTAGTATGTAATCAGGGAAACGTAAATTACAATAACAACGAAATGCCCCCTCCCCCTTCTGTGGTCTGTCACATTGATAAACACTTTAAGATTGACTTTATCCAGCATCAGCATGAGATGAAGGACAGTCTCTTACATTATGTGCCAAGTATAATTGCTGTAGTTTTCCTGGTGGCCGTACTTCCAAAACGTCACATGTTTAAGTAGCTTTGGACCCAGAGCGTCTGTTTCTAAGCAGCACTGCTGCACACGTATGAGACCAGCTAAAAGCTCATGCATTGTGTTGCGTGCATCTCCACTTCCCTTTCTCGCCTAGAGCAGGGAAGCCAACAAGAAAAGAACTGTCCACCAGTAGTGGAATGGCTCTGGACGCAGCGTGCTACGTAACTGATAAGATAGAAGCATGGTGCACACACTGGCTAGAGTCTTTCATCCTCAAGAAGAATTCTTTCCCTGTGAATAGCTCATGTGAAAATTAATCAGGAAAATTATATATTTCCAAATTCTGGGATATGATATAGACAAGTAAAGGGATATTTCAAAGTAGCCAAGTGTAGGTTTATATACTCTAGGGTGGGATTGTCATGGGACATCAAAGCCAGGATAAGAAATTTAAATTTAATTCAGCTGCCATGAGTGGCATATTATAAACCCTTGTCCTGTTAGCTCCCTAGAGATCCTTTTCTAATGTACATATTCCAGAAATAATACACGCATACATTTCCATATGGTAGTAATGTTGTTTTTTTTTTTCTTTTGAGTATGCATTCCTTACTAAATATTTAGTTCTCAAAGTTATTTTTCAGTTACGCAGAACCAAATATTTGGTTCTCAAAATTATTTAAGTTACTGAGTGTATGTACTGAGCTTCAAATATATAAGCCCTTGTATATTCATAACCTTGGCTGCCATTCAAACTGAGTCAGCAATGAGATATTCAGGAGTTCCAGAGAAATAGGACAGAACACAAAATGGAAGCATAATGAAATGTCTGTGTGTTTATTGCGCTTAATTTTTTAGTGGAAAGTGTAAGTTGCAACCTTGTTTAGTCAGGAAGTCCTGCACGATGGGAACTCCTTGTTCAACAAAACCAAACCTGAGGTCATTCTGAGTGTCTTCAGGTAGTGTGATCCAGTGAATGAACTAAAATTGTATCTATCCCATAAAACTCCAGATTGGGAGCCTGCTTTTTCCTTGGGCTCCACAGCTCTGGACTGAGCGTCTGCACACTTGCCTCTGTGCAGGTGGGTGCTGTGTGCCCATTACTTGAGAGGTCATGAAGATAGCTTTTGCTAGGGGTCATCAGGGGAGGCATCTGGAGGGGTGGGATTTCTCCCAGACTGTGATGCCACCCCATGGAGCAGTAAGAAACCGCTTGTGCCCAGAGGATAGACCCACCGAGACAGACGGTTGGGGACAGATGGGAACATGAACTGCGACCCTAACAAGAGAGAGGTGGCTCTGGAATTTGCTAGCGGTGAGCTACTGTGGAGTAAAGAGAAGACGTGCTAAACCCGAGCCTTCGTGAGGGCGGCCGGCGTTGGTGTGCACTTGGTCGTGCGCTGGCACAGCTGGGACAGGAAGACAAAGCGCTTTTGTGGGAGTTTGAAAGAGGCGCCAGCGCCTGTCCTGTGCAGCTCAAGGATTTGTGGTGCTGGCAAGGAGAAGCTGCAGAAATTGCCTCTGCGAGGTTTACTAGAAACGGAGGTCTCTTCCCCGAGGCAGAGTGCACGAGGTGAAGACTAGGGGGCCGGCTGGGTTTCAGCTCCCGCTGCCGCTTGGCTGGGTGCCTTTGGGTAGGCACAGACTGCAGCGTCCTTCACGGTGGCCCCATCAGAAATTCCAGGCCTTGAGTCCAAAAGCGAGGAAGGACATTGATGCCTACTTCAGTTTCACCCAGATTTCTGTAGGCTGCACACTTTCTTCTTGTCCCACGGAGAACTCGTCTGCTCCACTGAGTGGCCTTTGACTCCTCCAGCCCGGTCCTTTGTCCATGCTTTTCCCTGATGCCACGTTGACTCCTTCCCCTGTCACTCTCCCATGCTTGATACACAACCTTCTCCTGGGATCCAGTAGTCTGAAAAGGAGGCTGGCTACAGGCAGGTGCCACACGATGCCTTTAGCGTGGACACACTGGGTCCTTGACAGGTTTTGCATATATAATACGTGTTACTTATCTTTACTCATGAGTAGGGGATGGGAACATCCTTATTATCAACAGCGTCATGCCCCAGTATAGAAATACTTAGTGTGTGTAGGAACTTTTTAAGATGTATCTTATATTACAAGTAATATGTTACTTTCACTTAATTGCTAATTTTAAAAAAACTGATTTTCTTTAGCAGTCATTTTCATGTTAATATCAGCCTCATTAAAAATTCCGTATGAATGGCCTGAAGCACTGAGAAGAGTGCAGTGGATTATGATTAGCACACCCTCATGTAAGGAAGCAGATGGTCTCTGTTATATTCCCATGGGAGGCTTCCATATGTGCTGCCCATTTACATCCAGGTGCACAGTGTGACTTCTACAACTGTTCAGGCACAGGTCAAGACTCGGGGCTACCGCTCCTTTCCTAGTCCCAGGATAAGCTTCATCTTTGTGAGGCAGCCTTCCCTGCCTGCTGCCTTCATCTCTGAACTCAGGGGGCAATTGTTAGGAGCATTAGGTTTGGGGACTGTTTTAGATTGCTGCATTGTAATCTATAGAGAGCACGTAGCAGATTGGGTAGGCCCAACTTCAAGTAACTTCTCATACATCATTGATATTATCAGAAGCGTGGCCTTCATTGTTTGTTTCTAAATGTGTTTCCTAAGAAATGACATTGAGTTGCAGCCTGATCTAGAATAAGATACCGTCCTGGGTTCAGAAAGTAGAACCCCCTCCTCCGGTCTAGTTCTCAGCAAGTGACATCCAGAGGGTGACCGGAATGCTTTGTCAGGTTCTGGGGATGATGCAGAGGTAGAGCTGCAGAAATGTATTTTAAGTTTCCATGCCTTGTTTATCACTAAAGAAAAGGGAAGAGCCTCGTTTTGTGTTTTTTCAAAAACTTTTCCTTGTTCATAAAAATACTATTTGAGAAAAGATTCCTAAGAAAAATTAAGTAATTTATTTAACTTGATACTCTTTTTACCAAAGATTTCTGATAACTAACTAAAAGAAATGAACATTGCATTAATTTTTAGCATACAGTTTTTTTTTTGTTTATAACAGTCATTTTTGTGGGGGGTATGTTTTAGGGCATCATTCAGAAGATAGTGGACAGTCACAAAGTAAAGCACGTGGCCTGCTATGGATTTCGCCTCAGTCACCTGCGGTCAGAGGAGGTTCACTGGCTCCATTTGGATATGGGTGTCTCCAATGTGAGGGAGAAGTATGAACTTGCACACCCACCAGAGGAGTGGAAGTAAGATTACATACCTACTTTGGTGTGACTCACACTTGATTTGTTTTGCATATTAAATCACACACAAGAGGATGAATGTCTTTGCTTAATTTTCATACTGATTGTAATTACGACTCCTGTATTAAATAAAATTGGCTGGGAATGATTAACCAGTGATCTCTTCTAGACTTCTGTTCAGTCTGTCTTTGTGGCACCACCGACTTTGGACTGCCTGAGCTTCTGATGGGTTCTGTGGTGATGGCCTTTGGCTAGTCACACTTCTCTTGTCAGGACTACTTTGTTTCAGCCTCGGCTCGAAGAGCTCAATTCCTCATTCTTTTCCTTTCTGTCCTGTTAGCATCCTTTTGTGCAGCAGGACTTCATGAGCCCTGAGGAGACCACACCTAATTATCTCATTAATGGGCAGCGTGGCTTGCTCCGTGGTGCCTGGTAACCTCCCGCTCGCCTGAAAAGAGTGGTGTATATTTGACGTTCACGTACTACAGTTAAATTAGGTAGTGACTCATACTGACCTTAGTGAAACTGACATGATTGAAGGTGAATTAAAGGAATTCTCTACGATTGTCCTTTCTCTGGTTCCTCCCCCAAAAATAATTTTTTCCACTGTTAAGCAAAGCAGCATGTGAACAGGAAACCGTATGTGTAAAACACTAGACTGTGAGAGAAGGAGGGCCCCGTGCACAGGCACTCTCGTTTTTGTAGACACAGCCACAGAGACAAAGGTGGTTGTGGATTGGGGACGGTGCTCAGTGTTGGTCACTTTCAGTCCAGCAACGTAAATTGATTAGAAGACACATTTGAAAAGAGAAACAAACATGCGAAGGTTAATAAATCTCTAGTCGAATACAATCTTGTCCTAGTTACAGTTTACCAGAGAAATATACTTGTATTTTCAGGTTCAAACAGCTGGAACTGACTGAGCTGACAGGATATTCCATGATAATATAGTTGGGTTGGGTTACATCAAGGGCTAGCAGATTTGACCTCCAGCTATTTAGCCAATCAGATAAGTCTTTAAAAGCTACGAATACCTAAAAGTTAGTTAAGAATACCTGCAGCTATTTTTATTCAACATAATTCTATTACCTTCTTAATTTATATGGACGTGTCAGAGGCACACTTCATTATGCTGGTATCCCTAGTGCTCAGTAAAATGTTTGTTGAATATAGACCTCTGAATATACACACTCTGTTTCTGTTCTTTTAAGCCAATTTATTTTGTTTAATTTCAAGTGAAGTTGAGTGGGCACTTCTCTATTTCATGGAGCCTGAACCCTCAAAAGCAAGGCAGGCATAGACTGGGCGAGGTAGACCTTTGCTGAATGCAGTGCTGAACCTGACGCTGACGGAGGTGTGAAGATGACGCCGTTTCTGTATCGTCACCACGGAGTGGCTGGAGCCAGGCGCCAGGCCAGCTGTGTGCTCTCTAGAATCTGTACAGTTGCAGCTTGTAAAATGTATATGTCACAGAGCTCCCCCCAATCTTATGAGGTAAAGACAGAGGAAACAGGCAACAGACTTGACTTAAGTTCCAATTACAGAGAGAGCTCGGGACACAGCTTTGACTTGAATGTAGCTGACTTCATAGTGCAGGCTTTTAAAAGGGCTACTGTAGTCTTAGCTCCGAGAGGTAGCCTGCCTGGCGGGTAAGATCAGTGAAGGTGTGTGGACAATAGGCTGGAGGCACAGGTGGTCCCTGTGGGTGTTTCTGGGAGGGTCAGGCTTCATACTGCCTGTCTGTGCACGCCAAAGGAGGTGGAGCTTAAGGTGTCAGTAAGGAACAGGAGACTATTCTAAAGGAACCAAGTAGATTTGAAAAAGGACCAAACACAAGTTCTAGAAACCACTGGATGGATAAAACAGCAAATTAGGTATAGCTGAAGAATTAGTAAACAGAACTGTGGATCTGAGAAAATTTTCCCAAAAGACAGCATACAGAGATCAACATGTGGAAGGTATGAAAGCACATTATGTAACATGAAGAATGAGAAGGTCAACCCGTTTCTGGAAGGGGCTCTCAAAGAGAATAGAAAGAATGAGGAAAAGGAAATATTCCAAAGAGATAATGGCTGAGAATTTTCTAGAAATGGCGAATACCATTAAGTCCTCAGGTGTAGGACTAACATAAGATCCCAAACAGGGTTAATGAAATAAATCTACACTTTGGTGGATTATAGTCAAATAGTGTACAAAAGAAAAAGAGATGATGCTAAAAGCAACCAGGGAAAAATTCACAATTCTCCACAGTTCTCTCCAAGTGGTGAGAAAAAGTACCTGGCAACCTGTATTTATTCGTCAGATTTAGTTACCATTCAAGAGCAGGGTGCCAGAGGTACTTTCCTCAGAGAGTTTACCACCCAAGGAACCTCCTACAAATATACTTCAGGAAAAAGGAAAGTGATTTCTGAAAGAGGGTTTCATATGCAAAATAGGGTAGATAAAAATAAGCATTAGCTCTAAAAACAAATAACAAGAAGAACTGATTTTTTATATTAAAGAAGTAGAACCCAAATAGTGGATGCATGTCAGAAGAGAGGTGATCAGAATTAAAGCTCTGTCAGCCATGTTTTAAAATTATGTATAAAAAAATAAAATTGTATATTAGGACAGCCATGAAACATTAAGAAGTAGATTTTATAACCTAAACAGGTGGGTGGGTGAGTAGGGGTTAGGGAAACACAGCAAGGAGAGAAGGAAGGGACTGGAAAGCAGGACAAAGAGGAGTCACAGACTAGACTTTGGAAGTAAACTCAAGCAGACTAACAGTAACTGGTCAGAGATTGTTAGTGTGTGATTAAAAAATAGAAGCCAGCTATCTGCTCTTTATGACGGGTATCTCAAACAGTGATGTTGAAGACATTTTTATGTGACTTACAGGAAGAAACATTTTACCTTAAGACTCAGTACACATGCACATATATGTGTCTCAGAACTGTTTACATATAGGTCAGAAATGTACTTCACAAAACTATACCCAGCCTCACCAGTACACTGAAGTCAAAGGTTTTCATCCAGAGGCATTCTATTCTGTTTAACTTCATTTAGATAGATGGATGGTGGGCGGGTGGATGGACGGATGGATGGATAGATAGATACAGAGAGAAAGGGATGGGTGGATAGATGGATAGAAAGATGGATGGGTGGATAGAGATGATGGATGGAAGGAAGGAAGGAAAGATGGATAGATGGCAGGTGGATGGATGGATAGATGGATAGAAGGATGGATGGTAGGTGGATGGATGGATGGAGAGATGGATGGTGGGTGGATGGATGGTTGGATAGATGGATAGAAGGATGGATGGATAGAGAGAGAGATGGGTGAATGGATAAATGGATAGGGATAGATGGATGGATGGGTGGATAGATAGAAAGAAGAATTTTCCTACCTACTAACCAGGGGGACAAGGGGATTGGTATTACTTTATTAATATCCTATTTAAAAAGTTTCAAAACAGAAAAGCATTCTGAGGGATATGGAGGGCAACCACATAGTAATAACAGGCTCGTTTCACAAGAATTTATGAAGAGTAGAAATAGATGGAACTATTAAACTCGTAAGTTCCTAAAGACATTTCTCAAAATATATAAAGCAAAAATAATAATAAATGAATAAAACTTACCTCTCCTAATAATTAAAAAGAAAACAAACAATAGTAAGTAAGCAATTTTTAAATTATGTTTTTCACTATTCCTTTTAATGTGGAAATACGGAGTCCTGCACATGACAGTGTGTTAATTAGTTTGAAAACACTTTCCTAAATAGTTCATGGTTCAAAGTAAAACTCACAGTTTGCTTAGGGTCTGGCTGTGCTGCCCTGTTCCGCACCTCTCATGGGCTCTTCCCGTTCGTCCTCCAGTGCACCTTCCTGCAGGAGCTGACGCTGTCAGTCATTTCTTACCGGATGACGTTCTGCGCTTCGCTTCCTGCCTGCCCAATCCTATTTTATTGACCATTCACTGTCTTCCCCTGCTTAGCATTTAAATTTGGGTGCTGCTCCAGTGACCTTTTTTGCTCTTTCTTCTCTCTGTAGACCTGCCTTTGGCATTGAAATCACACTTGCATTGGCTAGATACAGGAAACCAATAAACCAGTTACTGCCTAACCCAGACAAAAGTCCTAAAAGCTGGTGGCTTGGGGGAGCAGTAATAGAAGGAGGGAGAAGCCGTTGTACAAGGATTTTTTAAGACAGAGCTCATAGAATTTTCTGAAGAGTCTTTAAAAATACACACATCCAATGAAATATATAAATCATTTCTGCAGAAGCTTCCAGTATCTCCTCATCATACCTTCAGCCAACTCCAGAGTCCTGATCATCTCTCAGCCCCGTCTCCTCTCGCTCTCGCTCCCCTTCCTGTGCCCCAGTGGCTTGTGCTCTGACATTTCTGTGCTCCCTTTTCGGAGCTGCTGGGTCAGGATCTTCTCTGCTGCCAGCTTTCTTGCCCGGTGAATGAGACAGACTTTTATCTTGGAGAACTTTCCACCTGCTCCACCCTAGCCACATGGCTGTCTTACTGGTTCTTGAACAAGTCAAGCATATTGCTCCTTGGGGTCTTTGTACCTGGTGGGACTTTGGTGAAGGTGCTCCTCTGCCATTTCCAGCATGGCTTGGACCTCCCATCAGGTAGGGCAAGTGCTCTGCTGTCCCCTTTTCTCTGTGGTCTCCTCCCACCGTTCTGTCTGTAGGGCCCACTGCCAACCCACCGGATGACTTTCCTCCCTCAGGGACTTGGTCTTACTCCCTGATCTGTTCCTGGTTTCTCGTTAGTTGTGCCCGGTAGGCACCCAGTAAAAACTTTTTAAGTAAAAATTGAATTAGTGGTAGTGGAAGTGTAGAATAATCCAAGAGGCAACACAGTATGATGGAATGGTAACGTGTATTCATTCCACTAGTGTGTGTCCCATAGCAGTGTGTTCACACTAACCCACGTTGCTTACTGTGTGGCGGGCGTCGTGCGAAGCACTTGGCTTACTTTATCAAAATTAATTCTTATTATGATAG